ATTAAATGCAAGGATCCTTTTTCCATGGCCAGAAGTTAGTAAGATAGCAGTTCACCTTTTCAAAGCAAAAGGAAGACATTGCTGATTAAGTGATAAATTGTATTGTTTGCTATTTCCCAAATAGTGTCTTGAAATCATTTGTTGTTTGTTGAATTCGATCATAGACATGGAAACAGACCTGTGAACAGAGTGAACCCAGTGTATATACACAGATAGCCGACCTTGGATGTCATCATAGCTTGTGCAGTGACATGCAGAACCATCATCATGCAATATATCCTAATACAAGGATGGAACAATGAATATTGATGAAGTAAGTTCAACAAACATTTAACACAGCCAAGAAAATTTTAGCCACTAAAGGAGAAGATGTCATAAGAGCCTTTTTATGTTCTTCCCATGATGCTTTTTTTGTAGCTGATGAAGTCACTGCCATTGAAATTACATCACAAGAAATTGAAGACCCAGTGACTAATTCCAGTAGCTGTGATGAAGAACCATCTCAAGTGATTTTCATATACTATAATTTTTGTTTTTACATTGGCCAAGTCATTGACATTACATCTTCAACCAGTGCAATAGTCAAGTTTCTAGCTCCAACTAAGGGTAGAAACAATTATTTCCGATGGCTTTTGGTGAATGACACTGCACAGTTCAAGTTAACATTTGTCTTTAGATGGGACCTAGATGCAATGCTAGTTTCAAGTGATGGTAGAATCTGGAATGTTCCAGAAATATTGACTATAGAAGAAACCTATAAAGAAATTCAGACTGCAAATCATCATTAGGCAAGGAAGTGCAGTAAAGCCATTCAAACTTCTGCAAAATCTTTTTCATCAGTTCCAATAAATGTAGTTTTACTCATTTCATTTTTTTTTTGTTTTTTGGGTTGTTTTTTTTTTTTACATTTAAAAATTGAGTTTTAAGGCTTTACAATAAGTTTTTGTTTCACAAATTGATACCCGAGTCCTTTAGTATGACAAGTTTCAAAGTGTTGATGTTGTCATTGCGTTTTGGACAAATCAAAATTTTTAAAACTAATACATTTATAAGAAAAACTTTTAACATTATAGAGGCTTTATTGAATTCTTCATCCTAAAATGAGTGAAGTTCCAAAGTTTCAGGTTTGTACCTCCACTGGATATTTTTTTTTACAGTAAGTTCCAGAAAGTATACTTCTCTTTTTTTTTCCTTTTTTTTTTTTTTTTTTTTTTACCTTTTTACCCTACTATCAAATTTTGCTTCTGCCTCTTCTTACATGGTGAAATAAGAGTTGTTTTACTGATGTACACCTGTGAAAAAAAAATTAGCTTGATCTCTTAATGCTATGAGACCTATTATGAACTTTCAATGACTTAACTGTAGAATTGAAATTTATATGAATGGTCAAAGTTGCCTTCCTGTGTTATTTTTGCACTAAATGTGATCCCCCCATTTAGGCCGGTCTTCTCTAATAATTATTCATTCCATTAGTATTATCTTTCTTTTATTATTTAATGACATTGCATTTATAATGATTTTTCACTTGTTTGAAGCCTGCATCTTCACATATACAGTTAAAAGGAGCTTCTCGCCCAATCGCACTCAAGACAGAAAATCCAATGAACTTTGAATGATTATTTCAGTTGCTTATTGAGATTGCAAGATAAATTTGGTAGCATTTTTTATGTTTTGTCAAGCTCTTTAGATATATTTAAAAAAAACAGTTTGGGATGCCTACTACAATGGATAGAAGGCAAATGGTGGACATGCTGCCTTCTCTGGAATAAGGTAAAAATAACAGATATGGAACAATGGAGGTACAAAAGACACCATACACAAGTTTGTCAAAAAGATGAAGTCTTAAGCATTACCATATTTTAGCAGTTAAGTTTTTCTATATCAAGGGTTCATAAAAGACCATTTGAAGAAAACAACAGATGAAATATTATGCTAAAACATTAAAAACAATCTGTATAATATACAGAATAATGAAACACTATTTCTAAATTTCAGAAAACTATTAAAATAACCACATAATATAAATATTTCTGTAATCATCCTCACAAATATTGGGACAAGTGAAATAACTGAAGATGGACAAAACAACAAGATTTTATTTTTTAAATTCTTTCACAAAAATGGCTAACACTTTACATGTATTTCTTACATTAAAAAGCCAGGAGCATGAAATTCTATATGCTCATTAGATAATTTTATCAAAGCATTATTTATATTAAAACAGTTAGATTCAAACTCTTACAACTTATAACAGTAACTGGGTGCAGGAACTCATGAGTTGTAACTGGAGTTGCAAGGATTTTGGAAACTCATAATTAGTGAACAAGTACACAGGTGACAACAAGAATTTTAACTATGTTGGTTAAAAAAAAATTTTTTTCTTGTTTTGTAGAAGAAAAAAGATTTTTTTCTCTTGGGTGTAGGAAAAAAATTCAAAACATAACCTTGCAAATATGAAACAAGTTTTGTCTTCGATAATTGAAATTCAACAGCAACAACAAAATCAACAGTTGCTAGGACAGCAACAGGAGTTGTTGGATATAATTCTGAAGAAAACAAAAATTTTTCAATGTCTCTTACACCAAATGTTGTCTTAAACATTATCTCAGAACTTGTATATTTGTATTTTGCCCCATATGCTTGTATCGTCAACAAATAATGTGAAAAGTTTAGAATAAAGAAAATGACTCCAGATATGTTCAAAGGGTTAATTTTCATTCAAGGTTTAACATGTAAAATACGAGCGAAAATTTCAATCACAGTGGAAGAATCCATTCAATCTTCGTGATCTCGCATAATTCACAGACCAGTTCCACCTTTTCGATCCAGTCAACCACAGGCTGTCCACTCGTATCACCACTGAATTCGGGGATCAGTTTTATATCGAACGGTCTTTCCACCATCTTGCGAGAGACAAAGTAAACGCCGAAATAGCTTAGCCAAAAATGCCCGAAGTTTCCTTCCGAGGTACCTGATTAGCTCTTTCACTACACTTTATTTTGAAAATAAAAAAGGTAATTGAAAACAAGGAACAAATTCCAGGCTTAAACACTTACTCATTATGAAACAGTGTATTAATGTCAGAGCAAACGGTTGTAAAACCTAGTGTGTTACAGAAGTGAATATTGAATGATTTTCATAGTAGACATCCTGGTATTTCAAGAATGAAATACCTGGCAAGAAGTTTTGTATATTGGACCAGAATCAACCAAGATATTGAAGAAATAGTGAAAGCTTTCAGGGGTTAGAACCTTGGCCAAAGACATACCATAGTCAAAGCTGCATATAGATTTTGTAGCTCCTGTCAATGGATCACATTATCTTGTGGCAGTTGATAGTTTTATTAAATGGCCAGAAATTTATAAGGGTAAAAATCCAACATTTTCAGTGACAGTGAATTTCTTGCATGAACTGTTTTCAAGATATGGCATATTAGATACCATAGTCTTTGATAACAGAACACAATTCACTGGTAAAGAGTTTGAAGACTTTTGTAAGATATTGGCCATTGAGCATATTATAACCCCACCGTATCACCCAAAGTCAAACAGACAAACAATATGGTTTGTGGGAACATTCAAAAGATCATTGCAGAAAGCAAGTTTTGAGAAAGTAAATGAGAAAGGACTTCAAAATTTTCTGAGAGTTTACTGCGTAACACCTAACCCCAATATATCATCAGGCAAGTCACCAGCAGAATTAATGTTTGCTAGAAAAGTAGAATCAGTGTTTGACAAGTTATTACCAAGTCAAAAAACATGAACGAATAACAAAAATGACAAAGGTATAAAGTGATCCTTAGAGCATATAATGATGGCAAAGAAACATGGGAAAATGGCATAATATCAGCAAGAATCAGGAAGTTGATTTACATGATAAAAAGGAAAAGATTTGAACATAAAAGGCACCATAATCAGCTGAAAAAGGTTCATCTATGAAAGACCTGAAACATTGGAAGAACCGATAAAAATGCTATATGATGTTTTCAATGTGCCATCACCACAACACATCATAGAACCTACAAGAACAAGTTCAAGAAAAAGAAAGCAGCATACTGAAGAACTGGAAGTGGATCCAGGACAGAAATGCTACAAAGTTAAATATGTTGGCAAACTCTCCAGAAAGAGGACAGGGAGATACTAATACTGATAAAAAAATAAAATATTTATAAAAAGTATTAATCTCAAAAGGGGGATGTTGTGGAGTAAATAGTACACACCTGGTGCCTATATGAACTAGTCCATAACTATAAATAAAGAGCTCCAGGTCAGAGAAGAAGCTGTTTGGAGTCAGTCTCAGACTAAATAATACAGGCATCACAGTAAGTTACTGATGCATTACTTATAATCGCTATGAAGAACATTATAATAGTGGCAACAAGGGATTTGAAACTCAGATGATTTATAACAGAAAGTAAAATATTTCATTTTTCTAAAAATTCCCCTAAATTTATGTAAGTGTAAGCATTCTGAAAGCAAAGGAAGTATTTGTCGTAGATTACTTCCACAACACAAAGAAAAATCACTGTAAGTACAGACTCGAATATCGGGGGCAGAAAGAAATGCTGAAAACTCAATTCGCCGGTACTATCTCGAATCACAATGTGTGTAACCAGTCAGAAAAATAATTCACTCTCTAACAAATGCTGAAGCCAAAAATGCCCGAATTTTCTGCCTCCGAATCAAGAACACCAACTGCTTTTATCGGCATAACCTATTTTTTTCATTCGTCGACAGTTGGGATGGGATGCTCCGTAATTTGCATATCAAAATACTGTTATAACGATTCCTGCGACGGACTTGTTTTTCGTCACTTTTTCCATCGTAGAATACAAGTGACGCGCTGTTGCTTGGTTTGACGAGGTAAGTTGCCGTTTTCTTCGCTATAAGATTTTTGCTGACTACTTTTTGGTAATGTTTCTTCGGCAGATCGCACACAAAACAAACTTTTTTCCAGGGTACCTGACTATCTCTTTCACTACAATTTAAAAACACACTTACCTTTCGTTTTTGGCTTGTGAGACAATTCTTGACTTTTCCAGCAGGTATTTTTCAACAATAGCACTGAAAATAAAAGGGCATTTAGAAGTTTATATATTGTATAAATATGTATATTTTTCATTCCAACAAAACAATGATAAACTTGTAAGCATTCAAATTTAAAATAGAAAAAAAAAAAAAAAAAAAAAAACATACTTGTAATAACCAGTCATAAATTCAATAATGTTTGGGCCATCATTCATGAATAACCAAAAAGGTTAGGTTAAGGTGGGAATGACATAAGTAAAAAGAATGAATGCAGAATAACTACAATCAAGAAACAAATGATTGAAGTCTTAGTCTGTTACTAGCAACATTCTCTAGATCTCTAAATATCTAAAATGAATATAACCACACTAGTCAACTGTACTTAGTATAAATTGCTGTAAAAAGATGCCAAGGAGTTTCAGAAATTATTATGTCAGCATCTTTGCTTTTAAGGAATTAAGAAAATAGTTTTATTTTTTCTTTATAAAAATTTTTAAAAACAAATATAGGACCTAAACTGAAATTCTATTCATTGACCATTTTTTTTAAAGTTTCTGGATAAATTCTTTTTTCAAAATACTGTACTCATTTACATAATTACTATATTGAATTCTTAATAACATTTTCAATGCCAATTGCACCATCTATTCTCATTCCTGCCTTTCCTAAAAGTAAGTGCAGAGCAAACATAGATCATCTCAGATGGAGATTGAAATTGTCTCAGTGATTATATTTTCCATGCTGGTAACCACACTGTAATTGGCATTTATAAATAAATGAGATTTTCAATTATGCAGTGTTGTGTACAAAAGTATATTTCTGCAGTTTGGCTGGAAATAGTAGTTCTTGCCCTAAATTGTGAGTGTAATAACCACTAATGGCCTCGAAGATCAGTACCACTTATATTCATCCTGGAGTTAAGTTACCCTTATAAACTAATTTTTAGTTTTCATGGTCCAGCCATAAGCAAATGAGCATTGGCTTTATAGGAATAGATATACTGACAATCAATTTTTTTTAAAATAAAAAAATCCTTCACAATTCTTCCTACTCTGGTTCTAATAATAATGCCATGACTATAATGCATGGCCATACTAATTATTAAATGTTTACTATAAGAAAAATAAGAACATTAGTTGAATAAAGTTGTTAATTTAGCAAAGTAAAGAACTGTGGTTAAAACCTTGATCTTTAAGTATTTAATTAAAAATAAAAAAACGTTACTCATTTCTACTTGCTGGATACACCTTAAATATGACAGCTATCAAATAATAAACTGATTTATCATAATAAGATCTTTGCCATAAAATGATATAAGATAAAGAAAACTATACTTTGGAAAATAATTAAAATTTTTAGTTTTAAATACAAGTGCAGGCTTCTGCTTCCACAGAATATTACAAATATACGTAGGCCAATGATTTTGCTCAAATTACATTCTCTTGAACTTAGATAAAGTATTGTCAATTATTCTGTTCAAACTACTATTTCTTTCATCTTAACTTCAATAGTTTCTTTTCATTGCAACTTGTCAGACAATTAGCTTGAAGACCAGAAATAAATATTACAAATCAACCATAAATTGATAGAAGTTTCAACAGAAACAACTGAAGGTAAGATGAAAGCAATGCTAGCATAAAAATTGCAATGTCAATTCTATATTTTACCCAATCAACTTTCAATATACAAACACTCAAACTTTTCTAAATAGGTAAACTATTCTTGAAAATAGACATTTTTTAATGTTAAAACTTATTTAGAAATATTTGAATTCACTGAATATATATTTGGTCCTATTTACATTATGCAGACTGTTATCTTCATTGCCATATTCATGTTTTGGCTGTTGTACACTCCAGCCTTCTTCAGCTGATTGGAATATCGAAGTGTACCCTTTATTTCGTCCACTGGGATAGATTGTTCTAGTTCCACATGCAATGCCTCTTCCATATGTTTCAATTATTTCCCTTTAACTCAAGTCTCCTTAAGGACACATGGCCCAGTAGATAAAGGTGTTGATTAGATCCAGTGACTAGACCCAAAGAGTTGTGAGTTCAATACCAGGGTACAGCAGTGGTGAACTGAAAAACTTGGAGAGTTGAGTTAAAGAGAGATTACCGAGACATCCAGAAGAGGCATGGCACAAGGAAAGAGAAAAATCTACCCTGGCGGACAAAATAAAGGGTTCGGTTCAAAATTCCAATCACCTGAAGAAAGCTGGAGATTACAATGGCCAAAACATTGTGAATATGACACTGAAGATGAGGATAACAGTCCGAATAATATAAATAATATCTCATCTCAGAGATATAGACAGATATTTGGTCCTGTTAATAATATTTAAAATGGTGTTCCTAAAAAGAATATTTACATTAATTTTTTGTATAAAAGACATGGCCTGAAGAAAATATTCAAACACTATATTTTACCCATGCCAAAAGTAGATTTTCCATAAGATAACAACTTACATAAGCTTTGTCAGCGAATATTATGTGGCTCATATAAAAGTCACATCATCTACAAGTGTCCTGCCAAAGTTCCCACTGAAAAATTTCAGTAAACAATATCAGAAACATTTTTACTAGCCCCGTGAGAATTTCTCCATTCACTAAATGCCTGAAGTCATTGAGGTCAGCTAGTATGACATGCCATTCAATTTTGACAATAAGACAACAGGCAATACCAAAAGAGACAATGAATATATATAAATGCTTTTGTAACTTATTACAATAAAGACAGTAAAAGAATATTTTAATCACTAAAGATCAATAAAATAGAATTTTTGTTTTTACCAAATTAGAGAATTACCAAACCAAAATACAAAATAGCATCAATGTTAATAAAACAGAATAGCTCATGCAACAAGTGAGTAAATTTGAAGAAAATCACTTTTGACTGCAACATAAATGACAGCTATCCAAAATAAGAAAAACCAACAAATATTAGATTTAGGTAAGAGCACCGATTATAACACAATTCAACACAGACACAGTAATTTATATATTTAAAATTGCAGATTACAGCTTATCCAATGTACCTCAAGTTATTTTTAAAAAGCAGCTGGTTTCACCTTTGTATTCCCTTTTGTAACTTGACTTAAAGTACATTAGGAAGTTATGATATATGCAGAAGATATCACTAAGAATGGTTGATTTTGATGGTACAAAGAGAGATGCACATTAACCTAGACTGAAGAACAAGAAAATAATTGACAGGGAACAAGAGTTAGAAATTTGCATATGTTAATAAATTGTTGTTCATGTTTAACTGCCAGATTGAATACCAATTGTTAAGCTGGTCAGAATTTTCTCAATTCACCAATTAATGGAGCCAAATTCACCTCAATAGATATTATAATTATTTGGCATACTTTACATTGTTCAGACTGTTGTCTAATTGTTGTATGCTCCAACCTTCTTCAAGTGATTGGAATTTCAAACTGCCAACCTTCTTCAAGTGATTGGAATTTCAAACTGAACTGTAAAGGCCTCTTCCAGATGCCTCAGTTATCTCCCTTCTAACTTCACTGCAGTATTGAACACAACTCTTTGGATAAAGTCAACACTTTTATCCACTGAGCCATTAGTGTATGAATGAATGAGACTTATAAACCCAATGTCTCAGTAACCATTTTTACCATAGCTCACATTGCAATTTTGTTATTGTTGTTGCTTTTCTCTAGCACTCCATATTACTGGTTCCCATATTGTATTTATTTCTATGCTTGGCTGGCTTAGGAAATATTTGTGGCCTAGCATATGTGCTGATTCCTTAAGTTTTCGTATTTTCCAGTGATGTTCTCTGTCTATTATTTCAACCTCATTCCACAGAGGATGGTGATCTCCTTTTTCCCTCCATATGCGGTCAGCTATGCCCGAGTTTTCTATTACCCTTCATGTTACAGCTTTATGATGTTTTTGCAGTCTTACCTTAGCCTTTACCATGCTGGAGATGAAAACTGTCACCATAGAATTCTCTCCTTTTGCATGCTGTAGGGTGCATTCTGTCGCCATCAGCTGGCTGCTATAAATAAACATCTTATTTCTGGTATTTTAAGCTGGAAATCACTTACTACTGCTTTGGAATGAGGCTAAACTTCTGTTTTCTGATGCCATTTTGAATTCTTCTACATTCTATATGAGGTGTAACATTGATTAAACCCACATTAATTTTTTTCACAATTTTTTGTAAACAAAAATAGCTGCATCAACATTCAACAAAGCCTTCATTCATGAGCTTTTCTTTGATTTGGACTCCGATGATGATTTTGAAGGCTTTACTCAAGTGGATATTGAATGGTGGGAGATGATAACTACGCTAGCGATGTGGAGGAAACCAATGATGACCACTATATGCTGAGCGGCTACTATCACCCATGGCTGACTAATTTTATAGAAGCTACTGGCCCCATGAATGTACCTGATAGCCTTTCTGAAGGTGAATTATTTTGTCTATTTATAAACAACAAAATAACTTTTTTTGTGAAAGAGACAAATATGCTAGTTAAGTGAAAGAAAGAGCAAACAAATGCTGGTGTCTACTTTATGTAGATGTGGGAGGTAACGCAACAACTCAACTGATGATAGCAGGTAGGAACAAAGAAACCGTGTCGCACGTCCAACCTTTCTCACGTAATAAAAGCTCTCTGATCTCAAACAGCAAAACGAGGCCTGCTTTATACAGCCGCGGACTTTTATTTTAAATTTGCATTTTCTATTTTGTGACGAGACAACAAAATTTCGCTTTAACTAACCGAGACCGCCCGGCATAAAATATGGGCATCCATTTTTTTTTCCTTTACCGTTGGGAGGACCAGAGTTTGCACACTGCACAGATGCGCACGCGTTTCCAAGGTAAGCCATTTTCACAATTTTCCCAACACTCCCCTCTGATCTCATGATCACAAACAGGGCAAGATGGTGGCGATCGTCGCCATCGAGTCTCCCTCCGAAGGGGGACAACACAAGCTTCATCCTCATGCGTGTTCTTGTCTGTGGTTTGAGTGTCGGTAAACACTGTCCGCCAGGAGGCTGCTG